CCCGCAGAGCGGGGTCGGCGGATCATAGTAATTTAAACAGACTACTGCTATGATTACAACTACAATATCCATGCAAATTCTTTATTGTTTGTCGTTATAATTGCGAAGAATGTTATTATGGCCTTTATTTTCATGTTGAACTTCTTACTTTAGGAATGCACTCAGGTCTTGGCCAAAAAAAGTGCAAGTTCCGCATCAAGCTCGGCCATGTGTTTCCCCCTGCGTGAAGCACACATTGAATCTCTCGGGTAATCCAGGCCTCGTGTTAAAGCGTCCCCACATTGGCGCTTCGACGTCGAACTCTGGTGCTGAGAATCCTCACATCTTAAAGATAATCTGTGCTCGGACATGAAGCAAGTCGCACCTCGGCCCAAATTGCGCGGTCGCGTGAATCTTGCGTAGAGTGTCCGCACACTCAGGCTCAAAAGATGCTGTTTTGAGGGCAGGAGAGGCTAAAGAACGTTATTCCAGACCCTTTCTTGAGGCAATGCTTTGTTGGCTGTCTTGTCGCACCTCTGCATCGCACAATCCCTTCGGCAAAATGGGACATTGGCAAACATGACCATGCTTGGGTCACGAATTGCCAGTAGGTGAAGGATCAGGGCGCAGCGTGAAGCGATTTTCAGAATGTCGAGTATACTGCCCGGCCTCACCTGGAGGAGGGTGGAGCGTGGCAGGAGAAGCTGCGCCACGCTTTGCAGGCCAACAGTTGCCAGGCAGGTCCTGAATGCTTTTGAGGATTGGGTCCATCGCCAGGCTGCAGGCCCCTTGGAAGTTCCTGAGCTGCTGCGGGCCGTGCCGCTTTTCGTGAGGGATCCCAGGGCACTCTGTGAGACTGGCTTGTTGGTTAGTCCTTTGCACCTTTAAATCTCGCCTGCTGCACCGAGACAGCTGCGACTGGCGCGACCCGTCCTTGGCAGCAGCAGGCTGAACCGCTGCATAAATTCGTGTAAGAGAACACATGCAAGATTAAAGAATTCAATGGCCCTAGATTGCAAGCACTAAATCCAGGAAGCACTGATTTTTCACGAAGGGAAGAAGCATTTTTGCACCATGTCTATGCCCTGTGAAGTTTTCCAAGTCAAGCTCACGTCTTTCGCCATGATCATCATCATCATCATCACCACCAGCAGCAGCATCATGATCGTCATCACAATCTACCAGAAACATGCCTGCAGATTAAGCAGCCAAGCGTGGCATAGCTTACGATGAGTTCTTGCGTGTGACGCATGTTCCAACGAGCAAAGCATAAGCTTGTCTACCATCGCAGCTGGTTTTGCTTGAGGAGTTGCTGGTGACATTTCTCCAGACATGGCCACAGCTTTTCAAAGCAGCAACCTCAGACAGAAGGATGGAGTCATGTATCGGAAGGCAGTTAGGCCGCTGGACAACAACATTGTCTGCCACTAATCATGCAAACGCCCCAGGGTGGCTGGCTTGTAGAAGGCTAGACGCCGCTCTTGGAGTTCGCTTCGCAGTAGGAGTCAAATGCATCATGCCTTCATCTTGCTGCTCTGCTAATGCACAAATCGTCAGAATTAGGAAGAGCATATGCATCTGTGCCCAGTACTCAGCCGTTCCCCGCAACACTTCAATGCCGTGTATCAGATGTGGACTCTTCAGTTTTTATCAGCGGGTCAGGAGCTGAGAAGTGGCAACGAGGTCACAAATATAGGTGGCCTATCGTGGCTTTTTCACGTGTCTCTGAACCTCGAAAAACCCCTAAACCCTAAACTCCAAACTGAACGCGCGAACTCATTTGTGGGATCCGCTTGGCAAGCCTGACCTCTCGAGTGCAGCAGAAATCGAGGATCACCATGCCACCTTTAACCAGGGGAGGATGGTGACCAAGTTGTGCAGTATTGGGGGGTGAGTTGGTAGAGACTGGGGAGCAGCTAGCCCGGCCAGAAGCCGAGATACACAATTTGATACAAGGTGGCTAGCACGTGCTCCCCTAGGTCGAGAAGCATGGCTCAGGGGCCGACCGAAAATATGTGGCATGGAGCCCAGGAGTTTTCTGAAGCTGCAACTGTTATGGGATTCTGCGTATTTGTGATCCGGCCTCTTCGAGGTGTCGCTGAAGTGAGGTGCAAAGTAACCGGCTGGCAGATGCTTCTCGTGTTTTGTTCATTGTGGGCAGCAGGCAAAAAATGTGATACGTCTGGTTACAGCTGCAGTGAAAGTGCGTTTGTAACCCAAAGTTTCGTACCAAACCGGAGACACCGTCCAGATGTTGCTGAAGAGTTCGCAGCTTCCCTATGCCAATGCATTTTTGCCACAGTTTGGCCACATAGCAAGCGCGGCTTTGATTACCTGCCGGTGCGGCGAACAGCTAACAGCTTAGTTTTGCTTTGGCCCCGCGCCGGTGACCCTGGTGCAAGGCACGCTTCCTGTGCGATTGAGCAGGGCTTTGTTGACTGCCTCACGTGATCCAGGCCGTTGCAATTGCATTTTTCTGGCGTCATGGCAATCTTCCTTGAGTATGAGAACACGTTCCTCACCATCAAGTCGTCGCTCCGCTTAAGATAGAAGGAAAGTGCCTTATTTTTCTGTATTTTTTGGTTTGGTTGTTCCGTATTTTTTGGTTTTCACGGGTTGGCTTTGGGGAGAAAGACAGAAAGAAGCAACATTTCTAAAGAACGTACATAACCAGAAAAAGAAAGGGAAGAGAGAAATATTATATATACAGAACAAGAAAGAGGAAAGACACAAAGGAGCGAACCATGGAAAGACATAAATCAAGAAACGAAAAATATGAATAGATAAAGAACGAAAGCAAGATTATAAAGAAAGGACATAAGAGGAGAAATAGATAAAGAGAGGACGGACATACAGTGAGGAAGGACATAAAGAAAGAACGAACAACAGAGAGAGAGAGAGAGAGCCGTAGGGCGCTCAAGCCACTACCACATCAAGCCCCTTGAGTGTACTTCGTGCCCAAAGTAGCCTCTCCTTCCCCTCTGGCAACACCAAGCGGGCTGTAGAGAGCAACCCATCCTGACCGGTGCGCTCCTTCTCTTTTCAGGGTAGCTATCAAGACCACGGGCAAG